TTGAACTGGAACCTGAAATCGAAGACGAGGATGAAGATTTCGAAACGAGCATCGATAATTACTCCTTTATTATTGAAGGGACCAACAAAGGCTCTGGGATACCTGGGGCTGTTTTCAATTTAACAACCACGGTTATTGGGGCAGGGATCATGGCCCTCCCTGCCACTATGAAAGTTCTAGGATTGGTTTTGGGGATTATTTTGATAATTCTTATGGGAATTTTGTCTGAAATTAGCGTGGAACTGTTGGTGAGGTTTTCTGTTTTGTGTAAGGCATCGTCCTATGGGGAGGTTGTTCAGCATGCAATGGGAAAGCGTGTGAGGATTTTGTCTGAAATCTGCATTATTTTGAACAATGCCGGTGTTTTGGTGGTTTACTTGATAATCATGGGGGATGTTATGTCTGGTTCCTCTCACCATATGGGGGTTTTTGATCAGTTAATGGGGAATGGGGCGTGGGATCAAAGGAAGATTGTGGTTTTAGTTGTCATGGTGGTTTTCCTTGCTCCCCTTTGTTCACTTGACAAGATCGATTCATTGAGCTTGACCTCGGCTGCCTCCGTGGCTCTTGCTGTTTTGTTCGTCGTTGTTGCTTTTACGGTTGCTTTCATCAAGCTCGTGGAAGGACGGATTGATTCTCCCAGATTTGCTCCTGATCTTAGCTCCAAAACTGCAATTTTGGATTTTCTTGTTGCGATACCCATCATGACCAATGCATATGTTTGCCAGTTTAATGTGCCGCCAATATATAATGAGCTTGAACAACGGTCTCCTCGAAAGATGAACACGGTTGGGAGGTACACCACTGTTTTGTGCATCGTAGTTTATGCTTGCACTTCCATATCGGGTTACCTGCTCTTTGGGAAAGACACAGAGGCTGATGTACTGACTAATTTTGATAAGGATCTTGGAATTCGGTATAGCTCGGTCTTGAACTATATTGTCCGGATTGGCTACATTCTTCATTTGATACTTGTTTTCCCTGTTATTCATTTTTCATTGCGCCAAACAGTGGACGCATTATTGTTTGAGGGATCACCTCCTCTTTCAGAAAGTAAGAAGAGATCTTTGGGGTTGACTGCGGTTCTGTTGGTCCTCATATATATTGGGTCTACTATGATTCCAAACATCTGGACAGCTTTTAAGTTCACTGGGGCAACCACGGCTGTTTCATTGGGTTTTATATTTCCTTCTCTTGTTTCTCTGAGACTAAAACATCTGGGAGATCTAAGCTACGGAGAATGGGTTTTGTCATGGTTGATGTTGGTATTAGCTGTGACTGTTAGCATAGTAGGAGTTGTTAGCAATGTTTATAGCCTTCAGAGTAAGTCTTAGCCACACAACTTGATAATATGGGAAAAGTACTTTTGCCCCCCCTATGATATATAGGGAATGAGATCCACGTCACTTTGTTCACTTCAATAGATTTGGAAAGAGTGACGGAAGAGATTTGAAGGTAAATTATTTTGTTGATTATTTAAGTGGATTTGGAGGTAAGTAAGAGTGCATTTGGAGGTAAATGAAAATGGATTTGGAAGTAAAGTTTGTAATAATTAGTGTAGGATTTTATTGATATGATAGATTAAAAAAATTTACTTCCAAATTTATTTTCACTTGCCTCCAAATCAACTCAAATAAACAACAACAAAAATTTACTTTCAAATCCCTCGATCACTTTCCTCCAAATTCATTCAAGTGAACAAAAACAAGGATAATCTAGAAACATATCACTAAAAAAAATATCTTATCAATGTATTTTATTTGTATATAAATTTATATTTATCTCTTATTTTTATTCTATGATTTTTTGTTTGTATATCTTAACAAAACTAATATTTTAATTAAAAAAAATTTACAATAATGAAATTCGAACTCAATCATGTAATAAATTAATGCTATTATATATTGAAAACCTTAAAATAATAATTAATAAATTTTCATCTTTATAATATTTTATTTTCTTATTTCTATTCTTATAAATCATATTTGGAATTCTAACATCATTATCAATTTTTCACTGTTTAAGAATTAGTTTAATTTGAATTAAAGTTTTTGCAACTGGACAAAAGAAATAAGATGGTGAGAAAAACTTGTGATTACTATTGAATATCGATGACACATCTGATAGAATAAGATATTGAGTAGAAGTTGTGATTGGTTGGTATACGAATTTCGATAGCACATCTAGTCTTCTCTTTTAAGTGCAGTAACATGGTCTGTATCTTTATACCATTAATGTTGTGACAGTGAGCATCACTGGTTAAACATGTTTTCAAAGACCACTTCGTAGTTCTGACACCGCGTAACTCACATGGTCCACATTTTACACTCTTCAATACATCACACGCTAAGGTCATGGTTTTGAGTTTAGTAAATTATGCATAATAGATCAATGATTTCACTATAAATAAATTTATTATTCTTTTTATTCATATATTACTCATTTTATTTATTTTTATTCATTGTGAGATTTCATGGTTTCCAAAGTTCTACTCTCATTTATGTGGTTTTTCATTAAATTTATCTTTGCATCTAAAATTAATTAGGTTGATACGCAGCAGTGTTTTAGATTATGTTTAATCCCTTGTTTAGTGAGATCTAATCCTTCATTAATTAATTTATACCTTTGCATTTAATTCCTGCACCGTTTTCGCTTTTGTTTGTTTCACCACCTCCAAATTCAACCATTTTTTATATGATAATAAATACTGTGATTATTTATGTTGGGATCTAACCATATATTACTATAATAAAATGTTTCCTCACTTTTATAATAACTATTCCAAATATTATGTTTATGATAATTTTGTATTGATGGAGAGTGCAGAGCATAAAATAACTAAATTTTTTAATAAGAAAATCATAAAAATCTAACTAAAAGGAGAAAAATTTATCATATTATTTGGATTTATTTATTTATTTTATTATTATTTATATTATTGTTATTATTTAACACTAATCACATGGGAACAGTGCTGCGATATTTAAATTGTGCTCGTGAACTTGTAATTGCATGGATCCAAAATATAATCGATAGAAGCATGTTCTTTTCGTAAAGGCAAAATAAAGACAACACAACCATTGGATAGTGTCTGAATCATATATATAAAAACAAAACAAAACAATTCCATTAACTTTTAAAATATTATGTAATTGAACAATAGTAAAAGAACCAATAAATATTTTTTCTAAGAAAACTCAACTCGAATTTATCGATAACATCAAATGTTATTTTTTATAAAATAAAACCATTTTAAATTCTGTAACCATTATGATTATTTACAATAAAAAAAATTATATTTTAACACATAATTTGTTATATTTATTTAACATTATTTATTTTAATTTATACTTTTTTTAAAATATAAAAATTTATTTTTTGATAAGGGTTAAATGAATTAAAAATGTGTCCATCATTTTACTCATATATTATAACCATTTTACAATACATATTTTCTGTTCATGGGAGACAGAAAAGAGATGAAAAAAATATATCATTGTAATTATTCTGAGATGGTAAGAAGAAATGAAGCTACATGACAAGTCGCAAAAAAACTGAAGCTACGATCACGCAATATTAATTGTGCAACTTACAAAATACTCATAAATTAGAGGCTATTTTGATTGCCATGCCTGTTAAAATCAAAGTCAATACAACATACAAGTCAATTTCAACGTTGATAATTATTTTCAAAACTCTTTCACTTTTTTTTTATATTTTTAAGTGTTTCAAGAAAAAAAAAACTATTGCCTTTTATTTTAAATATTTACTTTTTTTTAGTAAGAGTATGTCAATTAGTTTAATTTTTTAAAATAATTCAAGCATCTTTAAAGTACAAAAAAACCGGTGGAAAAAGACATCAGTTTTTTTTTTAAAGGATCTTATAAAATAACAAAAATTGGAGTATTAATTTTGGGCGTAGCGCTTGGGACAAGGTTCATATGAAGAAAATCATTACTTTCTTTTTCGTAGTTGAAAAGTCACCTCAGACTTTTGATTAATTTGTATGTTCTTTCTTTTTAAAAATTTAAATAAAAAATGTACTAAAAGACAAAAAAATATAAGATATAAAGTAATAGATAATGTTAGGGGTTGGAAGGTATACCAGAGAAAAAGAAGAAAGTATACAGAAGAAGGACACCGAACGGTGAAAGACGAGAAGAGGTCGAGTCGAACGGTGAAAAACGATAAAGGCGGAAAGAAAAATCGAGCCAAACGGGTGAAGGCGGTGAGGGCTCAAGCCGAACAATGAAAAAAGATGAAAAATTGAAATCGATCGGTTGAAGAATCATAAACGGGAAATAATTATAGTAAATATAATTATATCATAGAAAAATATTTGGTATAAAATAATTATAGTAAATAGAACTATATTCTAGAAAAATATTCAGTATAAGATAAATACATTAAATAGAGATATATTCTAGAAAAATATTTAGTATAAGATAGAGAAATATTTGGTATAAGATAATTATAGTAAATAGAATCATATTCTAAAATAATATTTAATATAAATAGAGATAGATTCTATTGTGAGAGTTATACTTTTGATTATTGAATTTATTGAAAGACGATTACATTCCAGTGAAAGAGGTTATGCTATCTTTATTTACTTTTATTTATTTTTTATTTATATTTATTTTTTTACTTTTATTTATTCAAAGAATTATGTGATCGTTAACAAGAGAAATTCATTTTTTAATTATCTTTTATGGCTAGTGTGATCTGATAGTGGTTAATTAGGTTTCCTCTTATCCTAACAAAAACTCTTCGCCCCTTAAACCCGGTGTTGATTGAGATCAATGTACAATCTTAAATCCACGAGCTTTTGCTGCAAAAGAATAATAATTCAATGTTTTGGTTTCAGTTTAACCGAAGTTCAAATCTACAAAACGCATAGTTTGAAACCTCTTATTCCCAACTCTGCCATGAACAAAGTACATCAAAACGAGCTGTGGGTCGTTAATTGGTCGTCGAAATCGTCGAAGCCATGATTGTCGGCACAAGTTGTCCCCATGAAAACCCTTTGGTCTCACCCTTCAAAGTCTGATGAGTGATGACGCTTTGGCCTTATTCAAGGGGAAACAGTGAACATGGCTTACATGCCCCACATGGCCACATACTATTACTGTCTCAACATTCAACACCAAAGCTTTTATTTTTACAAAAAGCACAGCCATCACCTCCTTCCAAAGTCCAAAGTCACCCCTTAGATTTCTTACCTTCTTTTCCATCTCTACTTTTTTTTTATCTTATTTTTGAAACATTTACTATTATCATATTAAGTATAAACTCCATTAAAGATAAGATTTTTACCTACTTTTTACCATGTAAACTCGGCCCTTTTTTTATTATTATTTCTAGTGAATTATGAAGGATTAATCTCACCAGTAATCTGGTGGGTTTACCATCTTTGGCTTCTACTGTATGTATAAATATGAATGGTGGATGGAAGTGATGCATACTATACAGAATCGTGATCCACGAGTTCTTTTGAACTGAGTAGTGAAGAGAGATGGATTGGTTTTCGTGGCTTTCCAAAACTGGGCTTGAGCCATCTCTGGTGTACGAGTATGGCCTTACTTTTGCTCACAACGAGCTTGAAGAAGATGACATGTTTTACTTCAACCATGAGTTTCTCCAAAGCATGGGCATCTCCATAGCAAAGCACAGACTAGAGATCCTGAAGCACGCTAGAAAAGAGAAGGGAAAGAGCCCACGCGCGGTGGCAAAGCTCGTGGTGGCAATCAAGCGGACAAAGAGGAACTTGGCTAACTATGTGAGGACGCTGATGCACAAAGAAGAATCATCATCGGCACTTGTTGTGGTGCCACCACCAAGGTCTAGTAATGGTTTAGGGACACGGTGGAAGATTGCTACGATGAAAAGGAGAAAAAAGTTGGTGGTGGCCAAGCAAGAGCCACTCTTTCTAACAAATGGAAGTCCCACAGTGGTTCCAGCTCATCCTGTTCTTGATGGTTTTTCCAGTCCTGTGGTGTATCATTTCCAGAAGGATAAGATGGATGGTGATGATGATGGAGATGGGTACTGGTCTGCTGCTGTTGAAGAGATCAAGTGGGATACCATGTTTCAGGATCTAAAGCCTAACTGAAGTTTTCTCTTTTCTTTAGAGAGTTGACTTGAAGGTTCTTTCCCTGAGAGATTTGAGTGTTTTGCTTCTTCCAGATCAGGGTAAGTTTTGCACCCTGTCTGTTCTATAGTGTTCAGCTACTCTCTTTTTCTTGTACTGTTATATATGTTCATGTCCTTTAGATTTGGTAGGGGAAAAGATGCATCCGTTTGAGTCACCTTGAGCAGAGAAATATTGAGGTAGAAATTTAGCTAGGTTGTTATACAGCAAGAAGTATATAACTTGTATTTTGAATCATAAGCAGTTGGGCATTAGTCTGCCTGACTTTACTTTAGGCACTGTATTACTCTAATGATGAAATCAAATTCAGGACTCATATATCTAATTTCTTTAGTAATTTCTTTTTATTATCTTTTTCCAATATCAATCAAGTAAACGGTGGGCTCATAAATTTTTAAGAACAACATATCAAAGTCATAAATATGCTTTGGATAGTTGCTACATATATTACTAGGCAGATCATTTTGTGTCCACCCTCAGTGACCTGAATTCTGAGATAGACGAAATGAACCTCCAGCATACAACATTTTATACACTGGTCGCATTCTAATTGTCAAAATAATACTCAAGATGGTACCAAGTCCACAGACACCAGCCAAAACCAGAAAAGTCAACCTGAAGCAATCTGCACCATAGCAGGTGGAGTTTCCTTGCTTTGCAGCTTCTGTATCGTACACGTTGCCCGCAAGAAAAACAGAGAAAATAAGGGCACCAATTGGATTGCCTAGCATCATGAAGCTACTTATAACACCGAAGTGTTTCAGACCAAAAATCTCTGAGACAGTTGGAGCCATTATAGAACATTGAACCCCGTAGCAGATACCAAGTAGAGCAGTTGCAGCATAAAGAGTGCCGTTCAGAGCAGAAGCATAAAATAAAAATGCTACGATCATGATTATTTGTGCACATGTCATCCAAAATGTTCGAGGTAGTGCTATCAACCTGTCATGATAACAACCTCATGAGTATAAGCTCAAAGCCCGAACCAAGTACAAGAGTCTCAAGTTCACAGCTATCACAACACAATTCAAATTTTGCTATAACATGATAACAAATTCACGATTCAGTTCACAAGGAAGAAAAGATTGAGGGGCAAGTCCTTACACAACTAGAAAACTACTTCGATGGGGACTGTTGGAAATAATCCAAGTATTAATCTGTCTAACGTTGGATAAAAATGACAACATTACACATCATATACAAAAAAAATATCATATGTCTTGGACGTTTTTAAATTAAAAGTGGTGTGAATCCCTTGTATAAGTTGGATTTAGATCATATATATAATCTCTTTCCAAGGAAGGCTCTCAAAAATAGATTGTATGAGAGTCGATCACCAGCTTAGACTACACAAGATCACCATACACTAACAGAAATATACGATATGAAAAGAACTCACTCTAGAGAAAAATTGTTGAGAATAATCCAACTATGAATAAATATAGTACCTGACAAAGTATTCAGAAACAACACCAGTGCCAAGGCGGCCAATAAATATGCAGAAGCTGAAGACTGACAATAATATGGTTGTATCTTCTACACCTAAAGCAACTCCAATTTGAGCCAAATTATTGAGAACCGTTACTCCTGAGCCAGCCCCAAGAAAATAAGCAAACCAGCAAAGCCAAAAGTCTGCTTTGATGAAAGCTTCACGGAACTTGAAATCATCTCCCCTCTTAGGTCTCCTTTTCTGTATCACTGCTCCCTGTCCTTCTGCAATGAGCATCTCAACATCCGAGACATCACCCCTTTCATGAAAACTTTCAAGAATAGCAGCTGATGAAGATGGTGTTAGCAATGGACTTGTCTGCGTTGAAATGTCACTCTCCGATGCCAAATTATCTGAAGAACCAACCAGTGAAACGTTGCACTTGGAATTAGAAGGAAATAGTGTCATTTTTATAGGAATTGCAAGGGGAGCCACCAGAAGTAAAACCATTATGGCAACCAAGAAGTAGGTTAGAGCATCATTTATAGAGACCACGTCACTCACAATTGTGGTGACAACAAGATAGGAAGCAAGTAAAACACTTGCAGCTTGGACAAAAATAAAATGCACATGCACTGAAGAGTCTTCACCAGAAGGAGTGCAAGGCCGAATGAAGAACATCATTAATAAACATACAGCAGGAAGTCCGACAGCAAGGAACAAAAGCAATTTAGAAGCAGACCCTTTCAGCACCAAGCTATATATTAAGGTGTATACTTCAGCACTAATTCCTCCATAACCATTAAGAATGCCAGAGATGGTGCCTCTACTGAGAGGAAAGTTTCTCATGTTGGTGACAAACACAGCTGTTCCAAACCATGCACTGCTGTTAGCGGCAACACATAGGGCAAGGCATATCTGTCAAGTCATCTTATAATCCGGATTTGGACCTAACTCAATCCTAAAAACTCTCACAAAGAGAAAAGTCCCTCACTTATATACACCATTTTGATCATATAATCACTGATCATATAATTAACAGATATTTTGGCTAGTTACATGATCAAAACAATGTCTTTAAGAGAGGGGAAGTTATTAGTGTACGAGTCAAGTCCAAACCCAAATTGTAAGAAGTCATAGAGAAAAAAAAGAGCTCAGAAAGTAATACATTCAACAGAAGGTGAACTGGTAGGAAAGTTAGCAAAAGAAAACACACACATATAAGTGGGTTGTTCACAATATTACTTATCTCATGACCAGTAATATATATTTTATTTGTCCATTTTTTGTATTATCAAGAAAAAATTGACCAACTGTGTGAGAAAACCCATGTATGTGTGTGGAATGGAATGAGGAACTACCAGGATATAAGGGAGTTGGGAAACAGTTTGTGTAACAGCAAGGAAGATAAGGCCATAACCAAAGAAACAAAGGAGAGAACCAAGGAGAAGGAAAGCCCAAGGAGGGAAGTTGTTGGAGGCAATGCCTGGAAGCAGAGCCATGCTCTCCTCAACATCATTGGCCACTCCGAGAATAGTGATCTGTTGCTGGTTGAGAGACAAAACAGATTTGAGGGCAGAAGAATAGAGAGGAAAGTTGAATGGATTTCCAACTGCTATTTGAATCCACACTGCAGATGCAAGACCCACCCATGGAGGTCTGCTCCCAGCTTTCACAACCAACTTCACCATTCTTTTTGAAAATGATTATCACAATACTGAGTGTTGGGTAGGATTATATAAAGTTCCACAGGCAGAAAGGTTCGAACTTGGAAGATGACACTTACAGAATATTATGTTTGGTTCCGACCCACCACCTTGTTTTCTGTGATTCCCATCAATGAAATCATGAAAGGTGAGAATGTAATTACTATCATAAAAAGTTTGTCCCTTTCATCACCTTCTCGTGAATCGACCTTCTTCATCTGTCAGTGAAACCAAACTGTCCAAACCTAATTGTCTCTATGGATTCACTTATGTTGTAACTTTGCTCCTCTGATTAAAACTAATCGCTAATGATTAAAGTTTTTTTCCACTAAAAAATTCAATTTTTATAATTATTTTGGTTATTAGAAAATATATTTTTATAAAATAATAAATGTAAAGAATGTATATCTTTTTATCTATCCTCAGTTATATGACTTTAAAAAAAACACAGCAGCTAAGTAAATATTAGTTCTATAAATATAAGTTTGCAAACTAAAATTTACTCATAACATTTAATGAGAATGATTATAAGTAGGAGTACTGAAAAGCATATAAATATAATAATTGAATTAAACTTTTCTTAATAAGTAGTTTCAATTGAATCAAATAATCTATTTCGTATATAGCTTCATTAAATATGTAAACTTTTTTCACGTGATATTTTTACGACAAAATAATTAATTAAATTTGAATCGTGCATACGATTTTAGTTTTAAAATATTTTAAATACTGATTATTAAAATTAAAACTGTTCATCTTATATATATATATATATATATATATATATATATATATATATATATATATATATATATATATATATATATATATATATATACCAAAACCAATTGAAATACATACTTAGAAAGTACTTAATACATATTTAATTCTCGCACATCGTATTTCACAAAGCCTATTATGGAAAATTTGATATCAGAATAAAACTTCTGTCAAAGATTCTTCTATAATTTTAAATTATTATATTGCATATTTCTGAAGAGTTTTCAGTCTTTTGGAGTATATATTAGCCATTTGATCTATGCCATATGGTGGGTTTGAATAAAGGGTTACGCCGTAAAATATATTTAACATACTCAATTAAGCATTAGGTCATGTTTATTTATTTTAAATATTATAATGTCTATACAAGTATACACAAAGATACTATAAGCTTACATTCTCTTCTAAATTTTTATATATTCATATAATTTGTTTAGACCCTTTTTCGTTATTTTATATCACAGTGAGTTGTATTAAGATTTTTCTAATCTCATACTTTTAATATGTAGAAAATATGAGAATTCCTAAAAAAAATTGTAATAATTTAATTTTTATTTATTTATATACATAACTACACAATCTATTTCACATATTACTTTACATCTGAATATAAAAAAATAATAATATTAATTTTCACGTTGTGTATAAATAATTTTTTAATTTACTTCATAAAAAGCCAACACTGTTTTGGATAGCAACATGCAAATTATCTTCACCATTTTAGCAACGTTACTTTTGTTTGTATTCAGATTTTATGATAGAATTTTATTGTACTCTGATTTAGATATTAAAAAAAGATATTTAATATAATATTATTTGACAACAATTAAGATTTTTTTCCGGTACAAAATAATCTAAGATTATTTTTAAGTGATAAACTAATAAGGAGAAATTTTAAGCTAACGTGATTAAATTTAAATATTTATTTATATTTAATGATATTTAATCTTAAATATAACAACATTATAATAATTGTTTAAAATATTAAATTAATAATTTTATTTTATTAAATAAATAATTTATAAATAAATATTTCTTTACCTATTCATATTTCTCTTTAACTTAAACCATCTTACTTCCCAATTTATTTTCTTTTCTTACTCTTCATTTGTTATTTCCCAATTCAAACACAACATTAGGAATAAAATTCATGATTGTGATAGGTTTAAAAAACTATTTTATAATAATTCAATATTAGAATATTAAAATAAATATACAAATAATTATATTATTTATGTAGAAAATAATTAACTCAAAATATTAAAAAATAAATTATTGAATGAAAAAGTGAAATAAAATATATTATTTTATTTATATTAAATAATAAATAGATTACTTAACTGTATTGTGTGACTAAACAATGTAGTTATTTTAATTTTAAATATTTGTTGTATTGATTATATTAATTAAAATTTTCTACTTTTAGATAGAAAATAATAAAAGCATTCTCAACCTTTTATATACACCTAAAAAGAGAGAAAATAAAATTAAAAATAAATTTATGAGATAAATGGTATTATATAAGACGACAAAAATATAATGAAAAAAAAGTTTTAAATCAGTTTATATGAAATGGAGGTGTATATATGTTGTTAATTATAACTAATAACCATAATAACTAAAAACAATAACGGTTACGAATATTAGGGTTTAAAATTAATCCGATATTCTTACAAAAATTAAAATTAGATAAAGACATATTCGTTAAAAGTATATTTAAAACAAAAATAGTTGTTTCTAGCCCTGTTCTTGGGACAGATAGATGACTCCAAACCAATCCATGAAAATGTTCATGCTTGCTAGAATGGGAAACATATATAAAGTACAGTCATACACATGAAGACAAAAATCTTATTTAAAAAACAATCGGTCCTTATTAATTAACTTAACAAAAACAATATAGTGGAATGATATTTGTATAAATGCATATTTATGAAATTGCAGACGCGTTATTATTTATATTTAAATATAAATGTGTATTATAGATATAAATAAATATATGAGATGAGATTAATCATACATTCCTAATCCATTTTCTTTCTTTCTATCTCTCCAATTACGACTCATTAGTTTTTATTTTCATTCCTGTATGTTCCCGAAAAGAAAAAGGAAACTGCAACAGTTATTGCTGTTGAAAGAAAACCTAGAGTATTTACATACAAGTGTATTTTTCCGAAAATGAAAAAAGAGTATTATTGTTTATTATTGAGAATTGATTGGTCTTGGGCTTTGGACATGAGGGAGAGCCGAGTGGGCCTGGGCTGAAATGCTACACGGCGATGCAAGTAGTGTGACGACGGTCTAATCAGAGTCGTCAAGGCTCTCCGAACAATCTCTCCGTCCACTCCTCCAATCCTCCTCACCACCGAATTCTTCATCGCAGATCTCAGAAGGTTCAGTTTTCTACCGCTTAGCGGCATCGTTTGCTGCTGCTGCCGCGGTTGCTGTTGCTGCTGCTGCGGTTGTTCCTGCTGCCGCTGTTGTTGTTGCTGCCGCTGTTGCTGTTGTCGCTGCTCCTGTTGCTGCTGCCTCTCCGCTAATTGTTTGTGGTACGCGCATCGGAACGATCCAGGATGCATGGTTGGAGAACACATGCACTTCCTCTTCTCGCTCTCAGTGTTCGACGACGACGACGAGGACACCGCCTCCTTCTTCGTCTGACTCGTCGTCGCCACCGTCATTGAGCGCCGCACTGGAGACTCCACTCTCTGCTCCACTGCCAAGAATCTCACCGACGACGATGATGAAGATGATGGAAGGTTGCGCTGCACTCTGGCGTTCGCGGAGGAGTATGTTCCAGGAGAGAAGTTCGTCGTCGACGTGGACGCAAACGCTGAGGAGTACGAGCGCGGTGACGTTTGAGTTCTTGAAGAAGGAGAAACCATTGACATTGTTGAAACAGTGTAGAGAGAGAATGCCGAGTGAGAAAGAGAATAAAGTAGTTTTTGTTTAGAAGTTTGTTAGAGACGGTTTGCTAGGGAATTCTTTAGCACTGCGAGTGGTTACGCTAACTGAAACAAGTCCACTGAGGTTTATATAGGGAGATGACAAATGGGTAAAATAGTAATTTCAAAGCCATTTTTCCGTTTTTCTTACCATGTATATTTTTTTATACATAGAATTTTGTATCTTACTTATAAAAACTTCAATCCAATTCCATTTACACCAACATACACTGGTGCCAGTTGCTATTATGTGGTATACAATAATATATTATTATAAATAAAGAAATAATAATTATGATTTATGTTTCAAGGTGGCTAGTGTTAAGCTAAAGCGCTGTTTACATGACTCTAAAATGCAGAATTTAATAAAAAAGAGAAAACCGTTGGAGAATGTTACAATTATATAAAACTGATTTTTTTAAATAAATTGAAAAAACTGTAGAAATGAGAAAATCAAGAAATAAATGAAGCAGTGATTTGATTTGTGGTCGTTTGGTGTGACAGAGACAGCAAACTAGTATAATTTTTCACAAACATTGGGCGGCCGTTCGTTTTTTTGTTAAGATTTCAGAATGTTGTGGGCTGTAAGAATTAAGAACAAAATAAACAACAGACAATGTAATGAATAGAATAATAGTTAAGAAAATCAATAAAAATTAATATCTTATGATAAATTAATATAAAATTTATATTACACTCATTTAAACCGGTCATCAACATAAGTCTTTAAAAAGTGTATTTAATTTAGGATGATTTGAAAAGAGTGTTTGAGTGAATTAGAGTGAATTTAAGAGTAAATTTTCTATTGTTTATTTGAGTGAATTTGGAGGTGAGTAAAAGTGGATTTGAAAGTAAAATTTGACAAAATTAGTATAGAATTTGATCGATGTGAAAGATAAATAAAATTGTTTATTTGGTAGAAATTGAATATTATCAAAATGTCCTTACTTATAAAAGTAATATAAAATGATAATGGTTAGTATTATATTTAATTGTAAAAATATTTATAAACAGAAAAAAATTAAAAGTAATTATTAAAATATTATAAAAAGAAACCAAATTAAAATTAATTTTGAAAATAAAATAAATTTTTATTTAAGTAAAATAAAATAATAATGTTTAAAATTTTATTTTATTAAACATAGTTCATGGCTAATAAAAAAATATTTTGCTTTAGATACTATTTGAAACATAAAAATATCAAAATATAAAAAATTGAAATGTCAAAATTTGAAATTATTATTTTATTATTTATAGTTAGGCTTAAATGCTTACTTCGTCTTCAAGAGGTGAATTTCTATATAATACCCGGTTTTAAAAATGAAGACATTGGGTCTCTATGTTATGAAAAGTGTATGTATGAATAACTTAGGGACCAATGTCTTCAATTTTAAAACCGAATACTAAACAGAAATTCACCACTTAACATGGAACGAAGTAAGCATTTAAGCTAGTTACTTTCATTTCAATAACAAAACCAAAACTGAATTTGAATACAAACTTATTACAATATTTTATTCATCATATGAAAATTGATATTATTAAAATTATAAAAGGGTAAAAATGATATTTAATTTAAATAAGCTCAAATCGCTTGTTATAATAGATGATTCAAAATTTGCAAATCATTCTAAATCGTCGCCTTCTACTCTTTGCAAATTTCCCGAAACCATTACCATTTAAACTATGAATCCATCCTCGCCAATTCCTTTAAACAGGAAATTCCCTTAAAATTTAAGTATCAATAAAACAAAAGTTCAATTCACATAAAATATTAAAATATTATTTAATTAAAAACTTTAGAAAAATAAATTTATTGTAAGGATGATCAACATAGACATATATAAATCTTTATAATGATAAGATGTTATCCGTTTTAGGTCAAATCTTCGTGAATTTATTTTTGGTATCATTCATATTATTTTTTATTTATTTATGAGTGTTTATCCAATATAGAACTTTTTGTTTGTATCATAATATTTATGAGTGTTATGTTCATATCATCCCAATGTTTAAAAAGAAATATTTTACCGATTATGTTAGTTTATACATGTTCTACAAAATCCANGTAAAAATGATATTTAATTTAAATAAGCTCAAATCGCTTGTTATAATAGATGATTCAAAATTTGCAAATCATTCTAAATCGTCGCCTTCTACTCTTTGCAAATTTCCCGAAACCATTACCATTTAAACTATGAATCCATCCTCGCCAATTCCTTTAAACAGGAAATTCCCTTAAAATTTAAGTATCAATAAAACAAAAGTTCAATTCACATAAAATATTAAAATATTATTTAATTAAAAACTTTAGAAAAATAAATTTATTGTAAGGATGATCAACATAGACATATATAAATCTTTATAATGATAAGATGTTATCCGTTTTAGGTCAAATCTTCGTGAATTTATTTTTGGTATCATTCATATTATTTTTTATTTATTTATGAGTGTTTATCCAATATAGAACTTTTTGTTTGTATCATAATATTTATGAGTGTTATGTTCATATCATCCCAATGTTTAAAAAGAAATATTTTACCGATTATGTTAGTTTATACATGTTCTACAAAATCCACCCACCCTATGCTCTTGGAGAACTTTTTTATGTTCGTAGAATTAGAAGGACCGAGAATATGTAGCCTAGACGCAAAGTTTGAAAACACCAATAAATAATACAGTGGATGCATATCAAAACAACTTTAATATTTTAAGTTATAATAGTTATTTTTCTGTAATTAATCTTTTCTAAACATGCACTAGATTTGACCTTTGAATATTAAAACGAAGGAGAGAGGATCAGTTCATCTTCTTCGATGTGTCAGCGTACATAAGCATTTTCGATAACAATCAATGATTATAATGTGTAATCTCATACTTAAACTCAATTTGGATAGGTTTCTATATATAATTATAAAAAAATTATGAATTAAAATGGATTTGTGTACGTGTTAAATTTAAAAATTCAAATATATATATATTTAGTTTTTCTCTCTTACAAATACTTATTATAGAAGAAAAACTCATCCAAACGAGATCTTAGTGTATGTTTAAAATTGCTTTTAGAGAGAAAATGGTACTTTCTTTCCCAAAGCTTTTAAAAATTTGGATAATTTTTTTTTATTTCTCTGTAATACATTAAAAAAATATATTTCCCCTTTTTTCTAATTACAAAATAAAATTTCGAAGATAACTTCCTTTACTAAATTCTCAAGTATATCGTTATTAAAAAGAAAAAGAAAATGTGTCTTAAAATGCAAAAGTAGTGATAAGTAAGAGCTAAAAAATGCTTTAAAAAGATAAAAGAACCACACAAAAGAATTACAGAAAAAAAAATACAAAGATGTTTTTAATTTGAAATCTAAGCACATTTTATAGATGCTTATAATTGCATTCTAAAACCTTTGTTTCCAGGAATCCCATTCATTTGACTTTACCAAAAGCACTTTTGTCATGTCTCACTTATCAAAAATGCAATTTCAATGTACTAACCAATAACATTTATTCGTGGAACTTGTTAATGTGATGATCGATTATTTCTCCAGAACAACTGAAATCAAGCTTCCCTTTGGTTAGGATCAAGTTTTCCCGACATCAAAGTTTATGTACTTGGATGAGATTTTTCTATGGATTGATCATTGAGTTCTACAAATGAACCAATTAATTGCATGGCATTACAAGAACATTTCGCGAGTCATTTAGTTTTCCAGTACAAAAAGAAAAAAAGAGGAAATTTCTATACCCTTATAAATGAGGATACAATTGTTTAAGATGCAAAAATTTATTTATAAATACACAATGTTAATCCTCTCAATGCACGCCAAACCTTCATTGTGGCCTCCTATATGAGTTTCCCCTTGACAAAGCAACACTACTTTTCTGCAGATAGCGTATATATTTTCTCTTTTATAAGGGTAAATGAATATTAATACATAAAGGGTACTGTACTTTTATAGAGTATCCAAATACTCCGTGAAAATTATCTTGTTTGGATGACAATCAAATCAGACTAGTATCACAAATCATGATGAAAATCACAATGTTCTAATCTAACACAGCAACAATCTTCATGCTGCTTTTGTGCGGAAGAGACAATTCCTTACTGCTGAGATTATAACACAGAAAGAAACTTGAACTTGGCAATTTCAGCAACAGTTGAAACTTCAAATAGGATAGAATTACCTAACTCTGAATCCAGGAGACTAAAATATTGCAAAAAAAAACTGTCAAGGAACGTGAAAAACTGAATCAACCTCGAGCTTTTCAAATTCGCTCCAAAACAGGTAGTGGCTGAAAGGCAACGGCATTACAAGAATCCCAAGAAGAAAAGGGATAAAGGTACTGTGCACTTTTCATTTCCACATGAAATATATTACAAGAATCTTATGAATAGAGTTTACAGTTTTATCTTTCACCAGGACAGGGAAAACTGAAGCAAGATTCAATCAACAGGGACTTCAACATCCATTTTTAGGTCAGATTGACCAAGAACCTGTGACAAATTAAAATTAAAAATTAAATCAAACATAGCAGTCATCCAAAGTATAGAGGAAATGCATAAGAAAATGAACAGACCTTAATGAAGTCATCCAAGGCCAAGTAGGAGTCTTTTGTGTATCCTGCTTCTTTTAGAACTTGACTGAGAGCTTCCTGCAAATCGAACAGAGAACAAAATTAGCCAAACTCCAGTTAAATTAGCCAAGCACAACTGAAAAGGTATATGGAGAAAAAAAATAGCTTTTGTTAAATTGATATGCAATTAACTTGTAGCATATAGGAAATACAAAAGGCAGAAACAAACTGTATCTTTCAAAAACTATAGAAATCTGTTGGTTACCATTTTAGCCATTAGCTTCCCCTTTAGAGAACTTGCAAAAGAGATGTGATCAAGGAATAAAAACTATGTAACTCAACAACCCAAATTATATAGTGACGAACTTCCAGTTGTACCAATAATGAATAACGAATATACTAATCCTATGAAACTGTATGATACTAAACTCAGACTTCAACATATCAAATTTGAAATAGGGATGCCAAACCAGTAACAAATGAAGACATACTTGGTTATTTAGCAACTAGTAGGAAAGCTACTTCATCATTAAACAACACATGGAAGTGAACAGATTGTTGGTGATACCTCTC